CACACACAGACACACACAGACACACACAGACACACACAGACACACACAGACACACACAGACACACACAGACACACACAGACACACACAGACACACACAGACACACACAGACACACACAGACACACACTGACACACACAGACACACACAGACACACACAGACACACACAGACACACACAGACACACACAGACACACACAGACACACACAGACACACACAGACACACACAGACACACACAGTCACACACAGACACACACAGACACACACAGACACACACAGACACACACAGACACACACAGACACACACAGACACACACTGACACACACAGACACACACAGACACACACAGACACACACAGACACACACACACACACACACACACACACACACACACACACACACACACACACACACACACACACACACACACACACACACACACACACACACACACACACACACACCACACACCACACACCACACAACACACAACACACAACACACAACACACAACACACAACACACAACACACAACACACAACACACAACACACAACACACAACACACAACACACAACACACAACACACAACACACAACACACAACACACAACACACACACACACACACACACACACACACACACACACACACACACACACACACACACACACACACACACACACACACCACACACACACACACACACACACACACACACACACACACACACACACACAAGTGAAAGATCCCCTCTAACATGGAGGAATCATCCACGGCTTGATTCGCCAACTCCGGGAAACCCATGGGTCAGCTCCTTTTTTTCCGGGCTCCTGAAACCTCGAAATTTGCAGAGATCAATTGGGCCTTTTGACCACCAAACCTCTCCCGTCGGCCCGTCCCGTGACGCCTCGCCGGTGTCGCCGAAGTCCCCCGCCGCCGCCGCCTGCAGCGCCGCCTCGAGCCGCGCCTCCGCGGCGAAGAGGCGGGGCCACAGCGGCGCTGGGAGGCCCAGGCGACCGCAGCGCAGCCTCGATCGCCAGCGCGTGGCTTCGCATCGGGTGGGGGATGACTGGGAGTTCTAATTCCTAAGGCTCGGCTTGGATGTTCATGTCATGTAGACCATGACAAAGGTCACCCCTGCTGGGATGTTGGGGAAGTTACATCGAGTTGGACGTACATCCAACTATATAAGCTGTTTGAATAGATACCGTAGTTGTGTAGAGGAAAGATTAGTGATTGAAAGGGTTCTTATACAGGCAGGGAAACTAGAGTAGAGTGAAACGATGCACATGTCAGACCCTGTTTCCCTTGACAAAAGTGGGCCGGAGATCCTTTTCTTGGCTTCCTGGAATTCTTCCTGCGATATTTCCACAAGGATTTCACAATTGGGGAACCCCAAAACGAGGTGCTTCCCTCTTTGCTTTCCTCACTTCCTGAGTGCAATTGCCCAAGCAAGTGGCGCAACTTTGGTTTGCCACTTAAAAAGCATACAGTCCAGCACCTCTTGTGCCACATTGCTCCGGAAAAGAACAAATGCCCCGGGAAGTACCCGACCAAAAACAACGAAGCCCTGGGGAGCCCTGAAAATGACCGTTGGCCCCGTTGGCCCCGGGTCATCCACCCGCCCCGAGGCGCCCGTAGAAGGCCAGCTCCGCCAGGCCCACCTCGGCCTTGAAGCGCTGGAAGCCTGCGGGGCGGAGGTTGAAGCGAGCGAAACCAGAACTTTTGATACCGGGCTACACCCGGCATTGCAATCTTACATGGTATTGAAATGGTCTAGGCGGCCGCAACTAGTGGCTCAAGTGGCGAACACTTTTGGATTGTCCCCTCTGATGGGTGGGGGGTAAAAAACGGAAGCCTATCATGCTGGGTCCGATTTGTCTTTTGAGACACACCCGCTTTTGGGGTGGCTCAAGGGAAACAAATGGAAAACCTTTGCGATGCTGGGGTGTGATTCCTATTTTGAGAAACACAAACGAAAAGTGGTGGCAAATTTTGAGGGGAGTTGGGCCTTTGGGGGTGGATTGTCTAGCCCATTTCGTCCCTCAAAATCCAAACAAATAGAGGGGACATTGGGGATGGTGCTTCTTGAAAAGCGCGAACATGTTGAGGGTTCTTGCGGAAAACCCCTTGAAACGACCGTCTAGAGATTAATTTGAGGGGGAGGCGGCTGCTCGAGACTAGTTTTTTAGCTCATGGTTGTGGATCAACAGAGCGAAGCGACCGAAAGGTAAGCATAGTGTAAGAGTCAGTACTAGTTTGTTTGGGGGGCTGCGCTGGTGCTTGATTTGAGGGCAATGTCTCGGGCTTCATGTGTTTCTCAAAACAGCGGAATTCTAGCTCAACTGGTCTGGTTTGCCTGTTGTTTTTTGCCTCAGGCTGATTTGGTTTTCGGTTCAAGCTGCTGCTATGTGCCTGAAAATTCGCATTAGGTGCTTCGGGGGTGTCTGCAAACTCTCAGCTTTTGGGATTCAGCACCACCCTGTACCAGTGTGTGTGTGTGTGGGCGCTGAGCTGGTTTTTGGTCTGAGGGCGACGGGCTTTCCGGTGTAGCAGGAAGATGTCTAGCCGGGGCTGGGCCGTGCTGGGCGCGTGGCTTGAGGTGTTGTCTGCATGAATCAATGTCCATTGAACCGAGCTGTTTGGCAAAAGCAGGAGGCAGCCGCTGAAATGCGCCCTTGCAGCTGAGGCGGGCGCGCGGTAGCATTAAAACTACCCTTGCTGTAATACTTGCGTGGGTCATCTCCACGATCACATTTGCACTTTGTGGGGATTCCCTTCACCTTTCACAAACACTGGCAAGTCAAATCCAATTTGCCAGAACCTCTGCCACATTTCTCGGAACCTAGAATTGATGAATCCCTGGTTGACTTCACTTTGTGAGGGGGGAAATTTACATTGGGGCCATCAAAGTGACATCCTCAAAAGTACCCGCAAAACGGCCTCTTCTAGGGTAACCACTAGAACGTACTTCTCAGAATCGCTCTCAACACGTAATGCACTTCAAGGGACCCGAAAGCACAATTTTCCCACCAGCATGGCCCTGCCTGTGCTTTCCTCCGGAATCTTCAGCACCGCCAAGCGCCCACAAGCCCATGACACCGCAGCGCTCAGACCAAACTCCACCTCCGGGAGAGGATTCTGAGAACAACTCTTTCCTGTGTGGATTGAACTTGATTGTGTACCGACATTCGTCTGAAACATAAAGTGTTTTCTGTCGGACGAAGTATCATCAAATACCACATCAGCACAGGACCTGCTTTACATTGCTACATTGAGTGTGTGATGTCTCATAGAATAAGCAGTCTGCTCAAGTTCAACCTTATGCTTTCTTACCTACACCTCAGACGTGGACTGTGCTGCTTTCCCATGTTCCACATGCGTCGCTTCCGCGCCTTTGACTCGTCTTCCGGGAGTTCTGTGGGTGCTGGACCTTGCTGCGATGAATATGCCCATGGGCCCATGAGGTTTGTCTGCAGGAGGGAACCGGGCCCGGTTCCCCACTGGTGCCGCTTCCAAAACTCGAAACGGAAGCCCTGAAAACGCGCACAGTTGCACAGTTGTGCACACACACACACACACACACACACACACACACACACACACACACACACACACGGACACACACAAACACAGACACGGACCGAGACACAAGACACAGATGCCGACACAAACGCACGCACCCTCATCTGGATGGCGTGTCAAGGGATTTCAACGGAAGCCAACTATTTGCGGGTGAGTGAAGTTCTTGCCAAACAGTCAATTTATCGGCGGTCCAACCGATTTGCGTCGGATGACATAGGATGACGGTGCCTGGCCATGTGACCCGTGTTCTTCTTGGGAAGCGTGGATGCCCCTTCTCATCAAACCAGCTATTGAGGCTATGGCAGTCACCGCAGTTGTGCAAGTGACTCTTTCTACGGCAGGAGCACGCACGGTCAAAACCATCGAGGTCTAAAGCAAAACGAAGGGTGGTGCAACACAATCTCTTCAGCAATAATATTAAGTGTTCAGGAAGGGTGCTACTGACACTCTTGGTAACACTCAATGCGTCCGGGGAATGACAAGAAGTGTCTCACCACAAATAAGGAAACCAAAGCAAAACAACTTTCATCATGGATGAGGTAGCAGACCCTTGAAAGGTTTTCATAATTTGCCCAAATGAGTCCATGCAGAGCGGCTCTCTGGCAGCTTCGGCTCTGGCAGCTTCGGCTCTTGCAGCTTTGGCTCCGTGTCGCGCCAGGTGATGACGAGATCTTTTTTCCTGCAACCATTCAAGCGAGATGAAGAGTGGGATGCATGTGTTCCTGCTGCTCCATTGACCTCATCCTGTTCTTGTTTGTTTGTGGGGGAATCGATTGCAAGGGCATAGGTGCTTGTAGCCATGGTCATGGCTCAAGCAAGGAAATACACGAAGCACAGGCAAAAGGTGCAGGGGAAGAAGGTTAACTCGACGTGTCCTGAAGCGGGCAGAGCAGTCGTTGGTATTGATCCTTGGCCGAATGGGATGGCTCCCGACTGGAGAGAATCTTGACAACTAACAGTACATAGCAAAAAACAAGCAACACATTAAAGGAAACCACCAAAACAACATGATCCCGGCCCAAGTAGTCCCCACATGCATGTTCCAGGTGGCTGGAAAACCTTCGCCCTTGCACCAAAATGTATAAGTGGGCCGTTGATGGAACCCCTTGAAGTTAAACATGAGCTATTTATCATCCGCCAATCCGTAAACGTGGCGACATCTCCAATCCGTAATCTGTGGGGCATTGTCACTAGATTGGCTACAACCTATTCAGGGCAACACACATGTCGCTTTTATATGCCAGCCACAGCTACATAGAATGAGACCGATGCTGCTCTAAAGGCTCAAACACAGTCTCAACTAACATTGCTGTACACCCTTAACAATTCGGGCCAGCAGGGGCTGACCACTTTTGGAGTGACCATCTGTAGAAATACACCGCAACAACACGCAGGACTGGCCATTCCGAACAG